GTATCATCCAGTATTCTTAGAACTGCAAAGAAGCTCGATAAACCTTCCGGCGGCTTCAGAATGCAGAAATCATTGGCAACTTCACCATGTTTTTATTTGAAAAAAAAAAAAACCACCATACTGGGTCTGTTGAGGCGGGAGCTTAGGGGAGGGGCAGCCGGGTGTGGGAGGGTGGGGAGGGATAACGTGGGGAGAAATGCCAGGTATAGGTGATGGGGGCATGGAGGCAGCAAACCACCTTGCCATGTATGTACCTATTCAGCAATCTTGCGTGATCTTCACATGTACCCCAGAACCTAAAGTACAATTAAAAAAGAAAAAGAAATACCATCATACTGGCCAGATGCGGTGGCTCACACCTATAATCCCAGCATTGTGGGAGGCCAAGATGGGCAGATCATTTGAGGTTAGGAGTTTGAAATCAGCCTGGCCAACATAATGAAACTCCATCTCTACTAAAAATACAAAAATTAGCTGGGCACGGTGTCATGTGCCTGTAATCCCAGCTACTTGAGAGGCTGAGCCACGAGAATCGCTTGAACCTCGGAGGTGGATGTTAGAGTGATTAGAGATGACATCACTGCACTCAAGACTGGGTGACAGAGCAAGACGCCATCTCAAAAAAACAAAAAGGAAAAAAAGAACAAGAATATACCATAGTATTTATCAGAGAAAACTTTAAGATTTTCTGAAGAGTCTGGGCTGTAATAGGAAAAAAGAAAGAGAAAAGACAATTCCACAGTAGACATTATTCTATAAGGGATATAAAGTGGTCGTCTATCACACGTGCCTCAAAAGTCACACACACAGACACACACAGAGAGAGAAAGAAAGATTGAGAAAGCGTGCGCAAATTGGGCATTAACGGAAAATGGAATAAAACATTCTGAGACAGATATAACCTGGTGCTAGGACTAACTTTAGGAAAAATGGTGAAGGAAGCAAAGTTTATCTGGCACAAAGCTACCAGCATTTGCTAATAATCATAATACCTACCATGTGGAGAATACTTACTACATTCCGGACACTTTTCTGGGGCCTTTACATATATGAATTCATTGAAATGTTACATGATTCTATCAGACATTCAAAGAGGAATTGGTACCATCCTACTTAAAACTATTCCAAAAGACAGAGAAAGAGAAAATCCTCCCTAAATCATTCTATGAAACCAGGTTTACCCTCAAACCAAAACCAGAAAGGGACATAACAAAAACAAAGAAAACCACAGACCTATACCCCTGATGAACATAGATGCAAAAATTCCCAGCAAAATACTAGCTAACCGAATCCAACAGCACATCAAAAAGATAGTAGACCATGATCAAATGGGTTTCATACCAGGGATGCAGGTTTGGTTTAACATATGCAAGTCAATAAACGTGATATACCACATAAACAGAAATAAAAACAAAAATCACATGATCATCTCAATAGATGCAGAACAAGCATTTGACAAAATCCAGCATCCCTTTATGATTAAAACCCTCCACAAAATCAGCATTGAAGGGACATACCTTAAGGTAATAAAAGCCATCTATGACAAACCTACAGCCAATGTTATATGCGACAGGGAAAAGATGAAAGCATTCTCCCTGAGAACTGGAACTAGACAAGGATGCTCCCTTTCGCCATTTCTATTTGGCACAGTCCTGGAAATCCTAGCCAGAGCAATCAGACAAAAGAAAGAAAGGCCATCCAAATCAGTAAAGAGGAAGTCAAGCTGTCACTGTTTGCTGATGACATGATCGTATACCTAGGAAACCATAAAGACTCACCCAGAAAGCTCCTAGATCTGAAAAATGAATTCAGTAAAGTTTCAGGATATAAAATCAATATGTCAGCAACACTACTATATATCAACAGCAACCAAGCTGAGAATAAAATCAAGAGCTCAACCCCTTTCACAACAGCTGCAAAAACAAAACAAAACAAAAAACTTAGGACTTAGGCATATACCTAACCAAGGAGATGAAAGACCTCTACAAGGAAAACTACAAAACACTGCTGAAACAAATCATAGATGACACAAACAAATGGAAACACATCCCATGCTCATGGATGAGTAGAATCAATGTTGTGAAAATGACCATACTGCCAAAAACAATCTACAAATTCAATGAGATTCCCATCAAAATACCATCATCATTCTTCACAGAACTAGAAAAAAAATCCTAAAATTCATATGAAACCCAAAAAGACGTCACATAGCCAAAGCAAGGCTAAGCCAAAAGAACAAATCTGGAGGTATCACATTACCCAGCTTCAAGCCTGTAGTCACTGAAACAGCATGGTACTGGTATAAAAAAGGCACATAAACCAATAGGACAGAACAGAGAACCCAGAAATAAAGTTCAATACTTACAGCCAACGGATCTGTATCAAAGCAAACAAAAACATAAAGTGGGGAAAGGACACCCTATTCAACAAATGGTGCTGGGATAATTGGCAAGCCACATGTAGAAGAATGAACCTTGATCCTAATCTCTCACCTTATAGAAAAATCGACTCAAGGATCAAGGACTTAAATCTAAGACCTGAAACCATAAAAATTCTAGAAGACAACATTGGAAAAACTCTTTTAGATATTGGCTTAGGCAAAGAGTTTATGACCAAGAACTCAAAAGCAAAGGCAACAAAGCAAAGATAAATAGATGAGACCTAATTAAACTAAAAACTTCTGCACAGCAAAAGAAATAATCAGCAGAGTAAACAGACAACTCACAATGTGGGAGAAAATATTCACAAACTATGCATCTGGCAAAGGTCTAATATACAGAATCTACAAGGAACTCAAACAAATCAGCAAAAAAAAAATTAAAAATTAAATGAAACAAATAATCCCATCCAAAAGTGGGCTAAGGACATGAATAGACAATTTTCAAAGAACATATACAAATGGCCAAGAAACATATAAAAAAAATGCTCAACATCACTAAGCATCGGAAATGCAAATCAAAACCACAATGAGATATCACCTTACTCCTGCAGAAATGGCCACAATTAAAGAACCAAAAAATAATAAATATTGTCATGGATGTGGTGAAAAGGGAACACTTCTGCACTGCTGGTGGGAATGTAAACTAGTACAATCACAATGGAAAACAGGAAGTATGGAGATTCCTTAAAGAACTAAAAGTAGAACTACCATTTTATCCAGCAATCCCAGAGGAAAAGAAGTCATTATATGAAAAAGACACTTATACACACATATTTATAGCAGCACAATTTTCAATTGCAAAGTTATGGACCCAGCCTAAATGCCCATCAGCCAACGAGTGGATAAAGAAAATATAATATATTGGCCAAATGCTGCTCATCTCAGATGGAAGAAAAAAAGAAAAGAAAATGTAATATATATATATACACACACACCGTGGAATACTACTCAGCTGCAAAAAGGAATAAAATAATGGCATTTGCAACAACTGGATGGAGGTGGAAACCATTATTTTAAGGGAAGTAACTCAGGAATGGAAAACCAAACATCGTATGTTCTCAATTATAATGGGGAGCTAAGCTATGAGGATCCAAAGGCATAAGAATTATATAATGGACTCTGGGGACTCAGGGGGAAAGGTGGGAGAAGGTGAGGGATAAAAGACTGTACATTGGGTACCGTGTACACTGCTCCAGTGATGGATGCACCAAAATCTCAGAAATCACAACCAAAGAACTTATCCATGTAACCAAACACCACCTACCTGTTCCCCCAAAACTATTGAAATAATATATATTTAAAAAAAAAGGTCACGTGAATCCTACGAGTTAGGTGCCACTATTATTCCCATTTTGTAGGTAGGAAGACTGAGGCCTAGAGTCATAGTTAAGTAACATGCCCAAGGTCACAAAGCTGCTAGTAAGAGAGAACTGAGATTTGAACCCAAGAAGTCTCGCACCAGAGTTCGTGCTTAAACTACACAACTATTTGTCCACAGATAATATGACTAATACTAGTCTACTAATATAGAATACTTCTGTCCCAGGCCCTGTGCCAAGGACTCTACATAAATCACCTCATAGATCTTATATGATGTCGGAGCTCTTGGCCCTAAATTATTATGCAGTATCTTATTTGATTCTTTTTTCTTCTTCTTCGAGACAGGGTCTCATTCTGTCACTCAGGTTGGAGTGCAGTGGTGCCATCAAGGTTCACTGCAACCTCCGTCTCTCAGGTTCAAGTGATCCTCCCACCTCAGCCTCCCGAGTAGCTGGGACTACAGGCACACGCCACCATGCCTGGCTAATTTTTGCATTTTATGTAGAGTCGGGGTTTCATCATACTGTCCAGGCTGGTCTCAAACTCCTGAGCTATAGCAATCCTTCTGTCTTGGCCTACGATTAAAGTCATAAGCCACCATGTACAGCCTTATCTGATTCTTAAACCAATCCCATGAGTTGGCTATGAGCATGTCCACTTTACAGATAAAAATACTGAAGCACAGAGAGGTTAAGCAACTTGATGCACATGTGGAAGTCTCGCCTCCCTTTTAGTAACACTTTCCATACACACTGTAGGGATCCATATAATATAAAATAATGCAGCACGATTTACTACACAACTTCTACCTCAGAGCCAGGTTCTCTCAGCTTTTCAAGGCATCTGTTCTATGGGAAGGAGTAACAACGGCCTTTCCTCTTTTCTCAATTTGGGAGGATTACAGTGACCCTCTCCAACAGTCAGTGGCCCAGTTTTGGTTCCCCTTAGTAGGGGAACACGCCCACACAAGCTCTGTCGCTGAAAGCCTGTTTTCAGGGCTGGGACGCTGTATATAAAAGGCATCATTGTTTGAGTTTTGATTTTGTTTTGTTTTGTTTGGAAATGGTTTCTGGAAAAGACAGACTAGCAATCCGTTACCGGGGACGACCAGTCTGCCACCTCTGTTTAACTCAGTGGCCAATGACAGTAAATAAACCAAGTACTTTTACCAGCCATCTTGATTAGCAGAGCAAAAAAAAAAAAATGATGACAACAGGGAAGGCACCCGGGGTAGGCTTACTTCCACTTGGAGGGTTGCACATCCTTTCAGGAAGTCATTAATGTTGTTGATGCAGTCAGCTTCAGTTTGGGGATCCAGACAAAACTAGAGGAACACAGTGAAATGTTACTTGAAGATTGTCATCCCATGCCAAGCAAAGCATATTCATCATTTGCTGATAACTAGGGAAAGCAGGCTTCTTAAGGTGTGGGGCAACACTGCTGTCAATCCAGGAAGAGAAACAACCACTGAAGGAAGTGATGCAAAAATCTAAACGGTTGATCTTTGTTTCAAATGTCGCCAAACCCTTAGTCCCAGCCCATGCCTACTTACAAGCTTTATCTCGTGCCTTCTGTTCCAGTGTGCTAACGGCAAATTCGGGAGACCCAGACAGTTTTTTGAGCTTAGTTCTTGCTTTCAAGCAAGGAAGCAATCCCTAGTACCTCTCTCTCCTCCTTCCCGTAGATAATTTAATGAAATTCTTTTTCCCCTTGGCTGTTGCCTGCATTTGATCACATTTCTTTGCATTTTGTCACCATTTAATAACTCTTTCTCAAGTTTAAGAAATGATAAGTAAATTTATTTGCTCAATAAAAATACAAACTGGTTTATGAAGGCAAAATTGCTACACTCACAGTCACATTCCATGATAACCTTAAGAAAATAAATGTAAAATTGTACACTCAAGCTTACTTAAAATGCCTACTTTAGAAATTATTCTCATGATTGTGGGTTTCCAGCTATTAAAAATCTTGAATTGTTTTAAAGAGAGCAAAGTTAGTTTCACTTTGAACACACATTGCATTCGAAACACATATCTGGCTTCTATTGCTTTTACAAACTTTATGTGACATTTTGAATTATTTCTCCCAGTTGCTAAATAGTCTCTCCTTCAATGGATTTTTATAAAAGGAAATCTACACTGATTTTAGTCAAACTGCCAATAAACACCATCAAGATCTGTTATAAGTTATTCTATTTTTCCACAGATTCATGTACCCCAAGTCCAAAACATGCCCTCAGTACACAGGGAGATGTAACATGCATCTCCATGATACAGTGAGCTTATAATATAGGTGCTGTCCCAGGTTTTCCCTATACTACAATTTGGGGCCAATTGCTAAAGAATAACATTTCATTTTCTTACCTTTGTAAACTACAAAAACAGTAAGAAAGAATGTCTAAGTCTTAGAAAAATATTAAAGTAGGAGATTCCCACAGCCTGGGAAATAGAAAAATCTTGAGCGTTACATGATTGCCGCTCTCCGGTGATAAGCAATCCCAAAGAGACTATAAATTTCCCTTACCTTTTCCACAGAGCCTGGCATGAGTCTGTTGATCAGTTTGCATAGAACTACCCCATTTTTCAGCGAGGACTTTAAAAACTCCTCCGGATCACAGATGGTCTTCTTAGGGGAATCTAAAACTCCCAAAGATATAAGCCATGTCACGATTTGTTCTTCTGGATTCATTACTGAGGACCGTACACTCCAAACAGCACTCTGGGGCAGCTGCAAGGACTAAGCCACATCCGCAATTGCATCTGCTGTTGTCTTCCTTTTTATGAGTTCTCTTCGGGTGCTTGCAGAGCAAAGGTTTAAAGCAACTTTTCTTTTTCTTAGACAACAGCGGAACCTACTCAAAATGTGGGATTTTAAAACCACAGAGATCACACGCAAAGGTGTGGAAACAGATAAGAATTAATGAACAATCCTGGATAACACTGGTTTTCCTTTTCAAAGCCTGCAAAACGAATTCATTTGGATAAAAAAAGAAGAAACACACATGCACACATGTGCAAACACACACGCACACAGAGTGCAAGAAGTTATAAGGAAAGAAAGTGAGAAGGATGCTGGGGAGGGAGGAGAGGCAAGGAAGCAAGTGCTTTGGAAAACAGAGGTGAGGCAGCACTTCAGGGGACCTTGGAAATGAGACACTCATGGGCCAGTCTGGGAAGACACTGTCAATAAATAGTCTAGCCCCAGCGAAAATCTGGCTTCTGTTAGCAGGACAATGCCAACTGGCTCTTAGGTCAGACAGATCTGAGTCTCGTGGGGAGATGTGCTGGCACAACAGGACTCAAAGAAGGTAGAGAGAATATTCTTCCAAGAAATAGCCGGATGTCCTCATACCATCTCCCAGAGATGGTGTGTCACGATCATTCCTTGCAAAACACGTTGAGTTGCATAGTGACAACGTGCCAAGCAAACGAAGATTGTGCCTGCTGTCAGCCATCACTGTGTTTAAGCAGAAGCTAGAAGAATGGCATTTTACTTTGCAGCCAAAAAGCTATGTTTAGGGAAATAGGCTAAGGATAACATCTGACATCCTGTTTACTTGCATTCTTTAGCAATTCTTTTTCTGGACCTGGTTCCACTACATAATCCAGCTGCAGTACCCTTAGCAAAGGCTCAGACTCAGTCACATAAGCGGGTAAAATACACTTGAAAAAAATAGAATGTTTGAGAACAAAAGAGCACTTGTCCTCTGTCTACACTACAATGTGGAAGATTTATATTTCCCCAACAAAAAAGCAGTTTGCACTTAAAATACTGCTCTGAAAAAAAAAAGAGATCTTCATCATTCTAAACATTTTCAGAACCATTTAAAATAAGTCTACTGTTGTGAAATTTATGATAAGGCCAACCTTAATAGTATAACCCTATGTTGGCAAATGTGTGGCACTTAAACCGTGATTACCTCTCTCATGCATGGAAGACATCAGATCATTCATAGCTCTTTCCTGCTAAGCCTCAGAATTCTGTTCAACACAGATTCATGCATCTACTACCAAAGAATCAGCTTAGATAACCCTACTAAACATTTTCAGAGCTGCCCTTTCTTGCTCTGCCAGGACATTTATCACACTTTACTATTATCGCATGTTGTTTTGACTCCTCCACCAGAATGTAAGCTTCCTAGACTCAAGGTCTTATTTGTTTTATTTAACACTATGTTGCCAGCACACTGCCTGGTATACACCATAGATGTTAAAAAATGTTGAATGAATGAAAGAATGTATTCAGATGGTGTCTCTGATATAGACAGTAGCTAATTATAGGAAGGATTTTTTGTTTGTTTTAATGGCTTAAAACATTTTTCCTTGCTAATGATTTTTACCATTTTATTAAGATGTAATTGACACATAAGGAACTGCATATATATGATTTAATGAATTTTGACATATACGTACACCTTTGATACAATCACACAAATGCAATCCAGATAAACCTTTCCATCACCCCCAAAATTGTCCCTGTGCCCTTTGAATTATTTTCTTTCCCCTTTGCCTCCAAATCCCAGGCGATCACTGATCTGTTTTCAGGGTCTATAGATTAGCTTGCATTTTCAAGAATCTTATATAAATGAAAGTATACAGTAGAGTACTATCTTTTTTTCTGGCTTCTTTAACTCAACATCATCATTTTGAGACTCACTCATGTTATTGTGTCTGTCCAAAGTTCTATAAGAAGGTTTGTTTGATGTACTTGTGTTTTAAGCAAAATCAGTACAGTAAATCAAAAGTTTTCATTGATGTTGACTCATGGCCAAATCTGTGTTGTGGAAATTAAAACAGAATCCATTTGTTGATAAATAAAATTCCCAAATATGACCAACTTAGACACATTTCTATATGTCATCTGAACGGTTTTCACAATTGCTCATCAAAATTTTACTCTACAGACAAACAAAATCTGGCAGTATTATTGAGGTATCACTTACATCTTCTGATGAAGAGCAGAGCCTGAGTAAATTTCGTGAACCCAGCCTCCTCCAAAACAGGCTTGAGTTCACTGAGGTCATCTGGATAAAACTTGGCCTCGTTTTGGATTCTCACTATAGCAAATATTACTATAAGTAATCAAGTAAATCAGAATGGCAAGACCACTGCCTCAAGGCAAAAGAACCAGTTCTATTCGTATAAGGATTGAAAGTTACAGTTGGTGTGGTAAAATGTCAACAAATCAAAGAATTCTAGGGCAGTGGGAAGCATACAGGTGAAATGGGTACCCATGAAACCCAGGCTGGTTAGGGATTCAAATGAAGATAGAAAGAAGCTGATGAACTGAAGGAATAGGGGGAGAGGGGGAATTCAAAGACTGGGGGTCATAGCAACACAAAGAGCAGGCTTCATACAAGAGCATGAGAAAAAAAAGCAAAGCTCTCTCCCCCTGTCTCAGATCCTCATTACCACACCCTCTGGACCACTGAACCTGCCTCTTCAAGGGCTTTCCCACCTCCATCCTCTCATCCTAATGAACTCTCAAGCAGGGCACATTTGGGTTGATTTTCCAAAAACACCTTTAGTGTTAATACCCCTGTTCAAAGGCTCTCTATTGCCTAAAGCAGTGACTGACAAAAAAAAACAATGTTCATATAATGACCTCCTCTGAGGCATGAGGAGAAAGGAAGGTGAGAGTGGAACTTAAGCTAAAATAGGTAACATCTCATGAAAAATCAAAAGATCTTCAGGAAATAAGGCAAAAGTGAACATTTGTTAAGACTGAATCCTGGATACACTGTACACTTTTACTATTTAGTAGTATGTGTTTAAAATATTAGTAACCATTTTCTTTCATTTCAAATCCACTAAGGCACTTATTAAAAAGAAGATTTGCAGTCATACATGGTGGCTCATGCCTGTAATCTCAGCACTTTGGGAGCCTGAGGTGGGTGGATCACCTGAGGTTGGGAGTTCAAGACCAGCCTGATCAACATGTTAAAACCCTATATCTACTGAAAATACAAAATTAGCCAGGCATGGTGGTACATGCCTGTAATCCCAGCTACTCGGGAGGCTGAGGCAGGAGAATCTCTTGAACCCGGGAGGCAGAGGTTGCGGTTAGCCAAGATCATGCCATTGCCCTCCAGTCTGGGCAAAAAGAATGAAACTCCATCTCAAAAAAAAAAAAAAAAAAAAAAAAAGGCCAGACACTGTGGCTCACACCTGTAATCTCAGCACTTTGGGAGGCCAAGGCAGGCATATCACAAGGAGAGGAGTTTGAGACCAGCCTGGCCAATATGGTGAAACCCCATCTCTACTAAAAACCCAAAAATTAGCTGGGCGGGGTGACGTGTGCCTGTAGTCCCAGCTACTTGGGAGACTGAGGCAGGAGAATTGCTTGAATGTAGGAGGTGGAGGTTCCAGTAAGACAAGATCACGCCACTGTACTCCAGCTTGGGTGATAGAGTGAGACGCCATCTCAGGAAAAAAAAATTGGGAACTCTCTTCCCAGTTACTCTAGTTTAGAATATCTGCAGTGAGAAAAAGGAATCCGTGCTATCAAAGTACCCCACTTGATTCTAATACAGATAGATCAAAGTCATGCTTAGAGAAACAGGTTTATTGGTCTCTAACCTTCTACCCAACTCTAATTTCTGCCAACACTTGGGTCATTTCAATATCCACAAGAACAACAATCCAACATCATGACCTCTCAGTTCCTTGACCTTCTCAACCTGTAATCGATTTATTACCTCTCACTTCCCCTTTGTGCCTATTCTGTGAAAACGGACCTGGGGCCTTGAAATATTTTTTACTTTGCCAGCTGGCACGATGTGAAGTTTTATCAGTAGGCAGTGGTAGACAGACATTGCAGGAAGAAGGGGTTTTACTTCCCGTTTTCTGTGTGCTCGCTCCACAAGCTCCTGCTGAGCTTTCAGCTTTCCTAGTGCCCGCTTTCTGCAGCACTGCTTTTCCCAATATACGGTAGATAGCAGCCTCCCTAGACACCACCCTTGAGTTTTTAGGCAGAAAAGCATCTCTGATGAGACACCTCCCATGTGAACCAGCACCGTAGAGGGGTGTATTTCAGCAAGTTCCAGAGAGTGTACGTCCAACAAGTTCCACCAACTCAGCGCAAGAGCAACTTCTTCAGTAAGGCCTGGATCTCATCCCTGGGTGGAGAGGAGGATTATCACAGCCCTAGAGATACCGGCCATTACACATTATTTTTCAATTGTCTGCCATTTATATCTGCTATCCCATATTTTTTTAGAGTTTCCTTTACTTATTACTAGCCAATCCAACACTCCAATCCCCTGTTACTATTAATTCTTTATGTTAAACTTTTCTTAAAATTACTATATAATAGGTTGGGTGCAGTGACTTATGCCTGTATTCCCAGCACTTTGGGAGGCTGAGGCGGGTGGATCACTTGAGGTCAGGAGTTTAAGACCAGCTTGGCCAACATGGTGAAACCCCGTCCATAATAAAAATAGAAAAATTAACCAGTGGTGGTGGCGGGCACCTGTAATCCCAGCTATTCTGGAGGCTGAGGCAGGAGATTCTCTTGAACCCAGGGGGCAGAGGTCGCAGTGAGCTGAGATCATGCCATTGCACTCCAGCCTGGGCAACAAGAATCAGATTGCATCTCAAGAAAAAAACATTACTATGTAGTGCCTATGTTCTGATTGGACCCCAACTGATACCCTTATTATCTTAAATGTATAGTCCTCTCCACTTTAGCTAACCTCTTGTGAGGTTACAACTTGTACTTTTTTATCACACAAATTTCTGTGTCTCCTAAGTCATGAATTCCAACATCACATTTTCTTTCTTTCTTTCTTTCTTTCTTTCTTTCTTTCTTTCTTTCTTTCTTTCTTTCTTTCTTTCTCTCTCTCTCTCTCTCTTTCTTTCTTTCCTCTTTCTTCCTTCCTTCCTTCCTTCTTCTCTTTCTCCCTCTCTTTCTTTCTTTCTTTTTTTTTGGAATCTTGCTCTGTTGCCCAGGCTGGAGTGCAGTGGCATGATTTCGGCTCACTGCAACCTCTGCTTCCTGGGCTCAAGCGATTCTCCTGCCCCAGCCTCCTGAGCAGCTGGGAGCACAGGTGCACGCCACCACACCCAGCCAATTTTTTATTTTTAGTAGAGATAGGGTTTCACCATATTTTTCAGGCTGGTCTTGAACTCTTGACCTTGTCATCCATCCACACAGCCAAATCATATCAAAAGGACACCATCAAGAAAGTGAAAAGACGACCCAAAGAATGGGAGGAAAGTATTTGCAAATCATATATCTTATAAGGGTCTTGTATCTAGAATATATAAAGAACTCTTATAACTAAATAATAAAAAGAAAAATACATATAATGGGTAAAAATTGAGTAGAGATTTCTCCATAGAAGATGTACAAATGGACAATAAGCACATGAAAAGATGCTCAACATCATTAGCAATCAGAGAAATGCAAATCAAAACCACAATGGGATTCCATTGCATACCCATTAGGGTGTGAATAATAAAAAAGACAGACAATAACTAGTGTTGGCAAGAACGTGGAGAAACTGAAACCTTCATACAATGCTAGCTGAAATGTAAAGTGATGGGGTTGCTGTGGAAAACAGTTGCAGTTCCTCAAAATGTTAAACATAATTACCATATGTTCCAGTAATTCCATTCCAAGAGAAATGAAAACATATATCCACACAAAATCTTATCTACAAGTACTCACAGCAGCATTATTCATAATAGCAAAAATTGAAAACAACTCAAATGTTCATCAGCTGATAAATGGATAAATCAAATGTTATGATGGAATATTAGTCATAAAAAATTAATGATGCACTGGATACCTGCTACATCTTGAATGAACCTTGAAAACATTATGTTACAGGAAGAAAGCCAGACACAAAAGACAATATATTGTATGATTCCATTTATATGAAACATTCAGAATAGGCAAATCCATAAAGACATAAAGCAGAACAGCAGTTGCCTGGGACTGGGGAGGGTGTTGAGAGGAGACGATAAGTTATCACTCATGGGCATGAGGGTTTTATGGGGAAAGGAGAACAATAACAAGAATGTTCTAAAATTGATTTGGTGATGTTGGATAATTCTATTAATATATAAGAAGCCATGAATTGTACACTTCAAATAATGTATAATCGTTTTTCAATAGTTAAATGGTTAAACAAACTGTGGTAAATGCATATCATGGCATACTATTCAGGACTGAAAAAGGAATAACTTATTGATATATGCAACAACTCAGATGGATCTCAAGGGAATTATGCGGAATAAGAAAAGCCAGTCTCAAAAAGTTATATGCTGTATGATTTCATTTATATAATATTCATGAAATGACAGATGCCCAGAGGTCTCAGAATGCCAGAGGTACAATGTGTATGTAAAAATATTGCCTGTCAGGCTGGGCATGGTGGCTCACGCCTGCAATCCCAGCACTTTGGGAGGCCGAAGAGAGTGGATCATGAGGTCAGGAGTTTGAGACCAGCCTGGCCAACATAGTGAAACCCCATTCTACTAAAAATACAAAAAATTAGCCAGGCATGGTGGTGTGCGCCTGTAATCCCAGCTACTCAAGAGGCTGAGGCAGGAGAATCGCTAGAACCCAGGAGGCGGTGGTTGCAGTGAGCTGAGATCACACCATTGCACTGGTTGCCTGGGCAACAGAACAAGGCGAGAGAGAGAGAGAGAGAGAGAGAGAGAGAGAGAGAGAGAGAGAGAGAGAGGGAGAGAGAGAGACTCTTACAAACAGTACAAAGGTGTAGAGGATTATACAGTCTGCTTTCCCAAGGAGAAGTGAATATTCTTCTGGAGGGGCGACTTGGGTTATGGAGGTATTTTCCTGACAATCTGGCCTCTGGTGGTACATCAGGAGTGATTTTCAGCTTTTCCTACTCCTTAGGTTTTGCCAGAACCATCTGGGCAACGAATATTGGGAAATCTGTCAAGGGAAAAATAATTCAAAGGCATAGAAGACTGTTATGTGAAATCACCAAATTGGATGGCCAGCGTGGTCTCTTCCCTACTCCATACTGCGACAGGGTAGGTGATGATGCAGTCTGGTCACAAAGAACTGACATCATATCTAATGGAACCTTCATATATTGTGGGTTGAAGATTTTAAAGATTCATGTGGAAACGCCTTTAACAAAGGTGCATAATCCAGTGTTCTCAGGGGCACTTCTGGAATGCTCGTTCTGTATGACAAACTAAGAAGCCATCCAAGTGCAATCTAACTAGAAATGAGAACCAAGAGGATCTTGAGAATATGTACCATACATATTATTTTCAACCACTGAGAAATTTCCACTGTCCTTTTACCCAGGCCAAATTATGTCTGTAGACATGTCTGTAGAAAGATATACAGAAGGAGACTTGCTGTGATCACAGCAGATCATAGGAACTGATTATTCTGTATATTGATCATGGTCAGGGGCAGCAACCATCATTATAGGTCTACAGAGGACAGATCTCAAGCTAAGATCTAGAAACCATTTAGTTTAAATGTTTCTTATAGTACCTCAAGTTTTGTTTCAGTATTTTTTAAAAGCAGTCCTGGGCCGAGCGCAGTGGCTCACACCTGCAATCCCAGCACCCTGGGAGGCTGAGGCAGGCAAATCACCTGAGGTCAGGAGTTCGAGTCCAGCCTGGTCAATATGGTGAAACCCTGTCTCTGCTAAAAATACAAAAATTAGCCAAGTGTGGCAGCACTTGCCTGTAGTCCTAGCTACTCAGGAGGCTGAAGCAGAAGAATTGTTTGAACCCAGGAAGCAGAGGTTGCAGTGAGCTAAGATCGTGCCACTGCACTCCAGCCTGGGTGACAGAGTAAAAAAATAAATAAATAAAAGTGGTCTCATTTGTATTAAACAACCACATATTATTTTTGCACAGTTGAATATTTGCAATGTTGCTGTATGTTGGACATTCTGCCATAAAATAATAAATACACAAAATTCCCTTTTTCTAAAAAAAAATCAAATATCACTGGAGCATTGATTTAAATTATAATACACCTATCAAATCAAATACTTAAGCAGCTTCTACAAAGAATGATATAAATCATGTGCTGACATGGAAAGATATCTAAAATATACTAAGTTTAAAAAGAAGATTGCAAAATAGCATATATGGTCTGATCTCCCTTTGTAAAAATAAATCTTTGTAAAAATAAATGATTAATTGTCCTTATTTTCCTTATTTTAAAACACATGATGGTCAGGTGTGGTGGCTCATGCCTGTAATCCCAGCACTTTGGGAGGTCGAGGTGGGTGAATTATTTGAAGTCGGGGTTTAAGACCAGCCTGGCCAACATGGTGAAACCCCGTCTCTACTAAAAATGCAAAAATTTACCAGGTGGTTGCAGTGTTTACCTGTAATTCCAGCTACCGGGGAGGCGGAGGCAGGAGAATCACTTGAACCTGGGAGGCGAAAGGTGCAGTAAGCCAAGACCAGTCCGGGCAACAGAGTGAGACCCTGTCTCAAAAAAATAAAAAGAGGACTAGACACACAGCTCTTTTTACTAAATATTCATTAAATGTTTCCTCAACTTCAGATGCAGAAGGTTAAATTGATCATACTACTCAGTTTATCATACATATAAAAGCTCTCCTCCCACTTTTTCCTTCATTCATAAAGACTGTTCCCCTCACAGATGCCATTCTTATTTATTTTATTTTTTTTTTTTTTTTTTAGACGGAGTTTAGCTCTTGTTACCCAGGCTGGAGTGCAATGGCGCGATCTCGGCTCACTGCAACCTCCGCCTCCTGGTTCAGGCAATTCTCCCACCTCAGCCTCCTGAGTAGCTGGGATTACAGGCACGCGCCACCATGCCCAGCTAATTTTTGTATTTTTAGTAAAGACGGGGTTTCACCATGTTGACCAGGATGGTCTCGATCTCTTGACCTCGTGATCCACCCGCCTCGGCCTCCCAAAGTGCTGGGATTACAGGCTTGAGCCACCACGCCCGGCCACAGATCCATTCTAATATGCATAATACATGTCATTAAAAATCCTTGTTCTCTCACAGTGTATGTAATGCACTTTTCTGTGCAGAAAAGAGGTTCAGGCTGTCCGTTGCACAAGAGCCTTACAAAGTAGTGCTATTCAGTCACACATATCTTAATATTTTTACAATTCAAAGAACTCTGAGTTTAAGAACTCAGGGATTTCAGACTGGTGACTTCAATATGCCTGTACACAATCAATTCAACATCCTGTTTTCTCAGTTCTTTGAGGAAGTGAGTTTGGTGAGTATCAGGGGCTCGGTTTTTGTCATGGCATCACAATTGAAAAGGCTGTTACCCAAGTACAGTTTCTCTTTAAAGCATTGAAAGAAGTTAGAAATTATTTGACAAAAACTGAATAGTACTGTTTAAGAAAAATTTATTAATAATGCTAAGCAAATCATAGTCTCCCAAAATTGACACCAACTTCTTCAGCATAGAAACACTAGAAAAAGGCAAAAGACAATTCATTTCAACTGTATATCTGAGCCCATATATGATCTATATAACTGCATACAGCCAATCTATGAAAAATTTCAAATTCAACTTTTAAAAATACTGTATAAATTCTTTATAAATTCTGGATATTACACCTTTGTCAGGTGCATAGTTTGCAAATATGGTCTCTCATTCCGTAGGTTGTCTGTTTACTCTGTTGATAGTTTCTTTTGCTGTGCAAAGGTTCATTCGTCTAATTAGATCTTGCCTATGAATTTTTGTGGGTTTTCTTTTCTGCAATTACTTTTGAAACTTTTACCATAAAATTTTTGCCAGGGCCTATGTCCAGAATGGTATTCTGTTGGGTACTATGCTCATGACCTGGGGTAACAATCTTTATACCAACCACCTTTGACATGCAATTTACCCATGTAACGAACCTACACGTGTACTCTCTGAATCTATTAATAAAATAAAAGTTGGGAAAAGAAAAAAAATCATTCATATCACGTCAGGGTCAGTGGGCATTTTGGCCAGGTGTGGTGGCTCACGCCTGTAATCCCAGCACTTTGGGAGGCTGAGGCAGGCGGATCACAAGGTCAGGAGATCTAGACTATCCTGGCTAACATGGTGAAACACCATCTCTACTAAAAATACAAAATTAGCCGGGCATGGTGGCACATGCCTGTAGTCCCAGCTACTTGGGTGGCTGAGGCAGGAGAATCACTTGAACCCAGGAGGCGGAGGTTGCAGTGAGCCGAGATCGCGCCACTGCACTCCAGCCTGGGCAACAAGAGCGAAACTCCATCTCAAAAAAAAAAAAAAAAAAAAGAAAGAAAGAAAGGCAGGGAGAAAGCTTTTGTATGAAAAAAATAAAGCACTATCACAAGGAATATAGACAAATATACAGAGCTGAATATATTCAAATAGCTAGGATGGCAAGAAAAGCTGGAAACCTTCTATGTGCCTGCAAAACCGAACTGGCATTTGTCATCAGGATCAGAGGTAGCAATGCTCTGAGCCCAAAGGTCCGAAAGGTGTTGCAGCTTCTTCGCCTTCCTCAAATCTTTAGTGGAAACTTTGAGAAACTCAACAAGGCTTCAATTAACATGTTGAAGATTGTAAAACCATATATTGCATGGGGGTTCCCAAAGCTAAGTCAGTAAATGAACTAATCTACAAGCATTTTAAGGCAAAATCAATGAGAAGCGAGTTGCCTTGACAGATAACACATTGATTGCTCGATCTCTTGGTAAATACAGTATCATCTGCATGGAGGACCCTATTAATGAAATCTATCGTGTTGGAAAACACTTCAAAGAAGCAAATAACTTCCTGTGGCCCTTCAAATTATCCTGACCATGAGGTGGAATGAAGAAAAACACCACCTATTTTGTAGAAGGTGGAGATGCTGGTAATAGAGAGGACCAGACCAATAGGCTTCTTAGAGGAATGAACTAATGTGTCTACTGTGATTGTTTTTCTAATCTGATCATTTAACAAACAGTACATGCTTTCAAAGTGAAATAGATAATTAAACAAATAATATATATTAAAAGGAAAAATGTATAATAAAGATTATCATGGCTGTATTCATTTCCTATGACTGCTATAACAAGTTACCACAAATTTAGTGGCTTAAAACAACAGAAATGTATTCGCTCACAATCTCCTGGAAGCCAGAAGTCTGAAATCAAGCTGTCAGTAGGGCCATGCTTCCTTCGGAGATTCCAGGAGAGAATCCATTCTTTGCTTCTTCCAGCTTCTGGTGGCTGCTGACATTTCTCGGCTTGTAACCACAATCTGTGCCTCTGTCTTCACAGTACCTCCTCTGTGTGTCTACAGTCTCCCGCCGCCTCTTTCTTATAAAGACACTTGTGTTGGTGTTACATCCCACTTGGACAATCCAGGATAGCCTCCTTGGCTCAAGATCCTCAACTTGGGCCAGGCACAGTGCCTCATACTTGCAATCCCAGCACTTTGGGAAGCGAAGGCAGGCAGACTACTTGAGCCCAGGAGTTCAAATCCAGCCTGGGCAACATGGTGAAACTCCTTGTCTACCAAAAACACAAAAAATTAGCCAGGCATGGTGGTAGGCACCTGTGGTCCCAGCTACTCAGGACACTGAGGTGAGAGAATCACCAGGAGGCAGACGTTGCAGAGAGCCAAGGTTGCACCACTGCACTCCAGCCTTGGCAATAGAGCAAGACCCTGTCTCAAAAAAAAAAAATCCCCAATTTAATTATATCTACAAAACTCTGCTTTCCAAATAAGGTTACATTTACACAAGTTCCAGGAATTAGGAACTGATGTCTTTGGAAGACCATTATTCAGCCAGGTATAACTGCCTTTTCAGTGTTCTAAAAAACATATAACTTAATTATTGGCCGGGCACAGTGTCTCATACCTGTAATCCCAGCACTTTGGGAGGTCAAGGCAGGCAGATCACAAGGTCAGGAGTTCAAGACCAGCCTGGCCAACATGGTGAAACTTGTCTCTACTAAAAAATACAAAAACTAGTGAGGCATGGTGGCTCACGCTTGTAATTCCAGCTACTCAAGAGGCTGAGGCAGGAGAATTGCTTGAACCCGGCAGGTAGAGGTTGCAGTGAGCCAAGATCGCATCACTGCACTCCAGGCTGGGGTCAGAGTGAGACTCCATCTAAAAAAAAAAAAAAACTTTATTTTTATAAAAGAATAATATAAATATAAAATAATAAATTAACAAATATATCTATGAAAATTTTACAATTGAAATGACTGATTAAAATACATATGAAGTGTTATATTAGTGATTTTTAATGTGTAAGGAGCTAAAATCTGGAACTAAAAAGTTGGTTACTAAAATGTAGTAAGACTCTAGACCAGACATGGCTCATGCCTGTAATCCCAGCACTTTGGGAGGCCAAGGCAGGAGGCTCACTTGAGGAGTTTGACTCAAGCCTGGGCAACCTAGGGAGACCCCGTCTCTACAAACAAAACATTTAAAAATTAGCCAGATGTGATGGCACATACCTGTCAGGGTCTCAGCTACTTAGGGGGCTGAGGTGGGAGGATTGCTTGACCCCAGGTGGTTGAGGCTGAGATGAGCCCTGTTCGTGCCACTGCGCTCCAGCCTGGGTGACAGAGCAAGACTCTGTCTCAAAAAATAAAAAATAAAAAAAACTATTAAGACTCTTGCTGAAGTGCTGCAGCATATTTGCAGCAATAATTTATCAGATACATTTCCAAATAGCTCACGAGCTCTCAGGATATATTAATTTTGTCAACAATGGCCACCATTAAAGAATGTAGCTTCCCAAGATTAAAATGTATAGAGAACTACTTAATATGTACAATGTTAAAAGAAAGACTGTCATATATAGTGATTATTTGATAGAAACAGAGCAAGCGAGCATTGAAACTGCCATGAAGAATTTTGTTTTGATAAAAGCAAGATGTGAAACTATTTTATAATAAATTATTATAGCTTGGTGGCTTTGAATTCCTAAATGTGATTACATTTTGGGATTGTCTATACTTTTGTGTTCAATATTCGTACAATTTATACAAAATGAATATATAGTTTTTGCAATCCTTCTTATTAGAAAATAAATAGAATACTAATTATTTCCTTCTACTTGAGGAATAGATAGGGCTTTTGGTTTGTATTGTTTTGTTTTCACACAGGAATAATATGGCCTAGCAGTGGCTCTGTTTGAAACAGATTTTTCATTTGGCTTCCATGACCCCACACAGTTTTCCTTTGGCCTCCTTGGTTTCCGTTTGTCTCTTTTGCCAGTTTCTCCTCTTCTTTCAGATTATTAAACATAGGAGTGCTCTAGGGCTCAGGCCCTGGGCAGCTTCACTTTTCTATCTACATTCACTCCCTGGGTGATTTCATCCAGTTTCATGGCAGTAAATCCCCAGCCCTGACCTCTACTTTGAACTCTAGAGTCATATTTCCATTGTCTACTCACTATCTCCATTTGGATGATCTAATCTCAAACTCAATATGACCCAAATTGGGCACCTAACCTTTTCTCCCAATGCATGCATCAAGCCAGTTCTTCCTAAAGGAACTGAGAGGCAAGGGGGTTCAATTGATCTATGTGAATACTGAAATCATCAAATCTAAAAACCTTGGAGCTGTGCTTTACTGCCTCTCCTTCTCTTACACTTTGTATCCAGGCAACCAACAAGTCCTGTCAGTTCTACACAGGTCCAGAATCAATGCTCCTCTCACCTCCTCCCCTGTTGCCGCCCTGGCCTAAGCCACATCATCTCTCGCCGGGATCACTGCCAATAGCTTCTCACGTGAGGTACCCACTTCTATTATTTCCTTTATGCAGTCTATTCTCTACACAGGAGACAGAGTAATTCTTTTAAAACGTAAATGAGATAATCTCCTTCACCTGCTCTCAATTCTCCAGTGGCTTTCCATTGCATTTAGAATAAAATTCAAAGGACTTAGATAGACTACTAGGCCCTACAAGGTCTGGCCCTTGCCTATTTTCAAGACTTCTTTTCCTTTTTTTTTTTTAACCTTTATTTTACGTTCAAGGGTACATGTGCAGTTTTGTTATATAGGTAAGCTCATGTCATGTGGGTTTGTTGTACACATTCTTTCATTACCCTGGTATTAAGCTTAGTGCCTATTCATTATTTTTTCTGATCCTCTCCTTCCTCCCACTCTCCATTCTCCACTAGGCCCCAGAGTCTGTTGTTGCCCTCTATGTCTCCATGTGTTCTCACCATTTAGTGCCCACTTATAAGTGTAAACATGCAGTATTGGCTTTCTGTTTCTGCGTTAGTTTGCTAAAGATTATGGCATCCAGCTCCATCCATGTTCCTGCAAAGGACATGATCTTGTTCTTTTTTATGGCTGCATAGTATTCCACAATGTCTATGTACCACATTCTCTTAATCCAATCTGCCATTCATGGACGTTTACGTTGATTCCATGTCTTTGCTATTGTGAACAGTGCTAGAATGAACATACACATGCATGTGTCTGTATGACAGAATGATTTCTATTCCTTTGGGTATATACCAGTAATGGGTTTGCTGGGTGGAATGGTAGTTCTGTTTTTAGCTCTTTGAGTAATCATCACACTGCTTTCCATAGGCTGAACTAATTTACACTCCCACCAACAGTATATAAGCTCTCCCTTTTCTCTGCAACCTCATCAGCATCTGTTATTTTTGACTTTTTAATAATAGCCACTCTGACTGGTGTGAGATGATATCTCATCATGGTGTTCATTTGCATTTCCCTAATTGTCAGTGATGCTGAGGTTTTAGTCATAGTTTTTTGGCTGCATGTATGTCTTCTTTTGAAAAGTGTCTGTTCACGTCTTTTGCCCACTTTTAAATGAAGTTGTTTTTCTTTGTAAATTTGTTTGAGTTCCTTATAGATGCTAGATATTAGACCTTTGTCAAATGCATAGTTTTCAAAAAGTTTCTCCCATTCTGTAGGCTGTTTACTCAGTTGATAGTTTCTTTTGCTGTGCAGAAACTCTTTAGTTTAATTAGATCCCATTTGTCAGTTTTTGCTTTTGCTGCAATTGCTTTTGGTGTCTTTGTCATGAAATTTTTGCCTGTTCCCATGTCCAGAATGTCAAACCTTATTTTCTACTACACTTCTCTTTGGTTGCTCTGTTCCAGCTCCACTGGTCCCCCTGCACTCATGCAGTTCCCAACCTCAGGAACTTTGCATTTGCTTTTCCTTTTTTTGAGACAGAGTCTTGCTCTGTCAGCCAGACTGTAGTGCTGTGGCGCAATCTTGACTCACAGCAACCTCCACCTTCCAGGTTCAAGCGATTCTTCTGCTTCAGCCTCCCAAGTAGCTGTGATTACATGTTCCCGCCACAATGCCTGGCTAATTTTTTTTTAAAATAGTGATGGGGTTTCACCATGTTGGCCAGGCTGGTCTCAAACTCCTGACCTCAGGTAATCTGCCTGCCTTGGCCTCCCAAGGTGCTGGGATTACAGGTGAGCCACTGGACCCGGCCTGCACTTGCTTTTCTTTCTGTTCATAAAATATCATTTCTTTCAAAAGTCTTCTTTTGGATCCAAGATGGCCGATCACTAACAGCTCGGGATTGTAGCTCCCAGTGAAAGCTCAGAGAACGAGACAACGCCACACTTTTAGACGAATTTTCGTCACTCACGGATCAGCTGATTCCCAGTGGAGGAGCCCCACGGGTCACCAGCGTGACTCTTGTGGCCCCTGCAGTGGTTTTGCCGGCGTCTCGGCGCAGCAGCTCTTCACGCAGAGCCAACGGGACCACTTCCCCTACTGACCGGAGTTTGGAGCTCCGGGAAGTCAGAGCCGCTTGTTGCGGACTCAAGAGGGAAGCCAGACCAGAGATTCCCGGGCAGAAGAGCACCATCAGTCTTACCGCTGCTATTTAGGCCGCCACAGTGAGTTGCTCGGATCCCAGCACTGGGAATCAATAAATTGGACGTCGACTCAGAAACCTAATTAGAAAGCCTGTTCATCTACAATGAAGGGAAAAAAACAGCCTAAGAAGGCCGAGTATACTCAAAATCAGAACCCATCAGCAACAGAACAAGCCCTGATGGAAAAGGACTCATCAGCAACCGAACAAGCCCTGATGGAAAAGGACTCATCAGCAACAGAAAAAGTCCTGATGGAAAAGGACTGTGTTCCATTATCTGAAGTAGGCTTTAAAAGGTGGATGATAAGAAACTTCTGGGAGTTAAAGGAACTTGTTCTAACCCAGTGTAAAGAAACTAAGAACTTTGAAAAAAGGTTCGATGAAATGATGAAAAGAATAGACAATATAGAGAGGAATACAAATGAACTTATGGAGTTGAAAAATACAACATGAGAACTTAGTGAAATATGTACAAGCTTAAATAGCCGAATGGATCAAGCAGAAGAAAGGATATCAGAGGTTGAAGACCAACTTAATGAAATCAAACGACAAGACAAGAATAGAGAAAAAAGGATAAAAAGGAATGAGCAAAGTCTCCAAGAAATATGGGACTATGTGAAAAGACCTAATATACGTTTGATCAGTGTACCTGAATGTGACGGAGAGAATGAATTCAAGCTGGAAAATACTTTTCAGGACATTATCCAGGAAAATTTTCCCAACTTAGCAAAGCAGGACACTATTCAACCCCAGGCAATACAGAGAACACCACAAAGATATTCCTCAAGAAGACCAACCCCAAGGCACATAATCGTTAGATTCACCAGGATCGAAACGAAGGAGAAAATCTTAAGGGCAGCCAGAGGGAAAGATCAGGTTACCCATAAAGGGAAGCCTATTAGGCTTACAGCAGATCTCTCAGCGGAAACCCTACAAGTCAGAAGAGAGTGGGGGCCAATATTCAATATACTTAAAGAACAGAACCTTCAGCCCAGAATTTCATATCCTGCCAATTTAAGCTTTACAATTGAAGGAAAAATAAAATCTTTCAGGAACAAGCAAGTACTTAGAGATTTTACTACCACCAGGCCTGCTTTACAAGAACTTCTAAAAGAAGTATTATACATAGAAAGGAACAACCAGTATGAGCCTTTCTAAAAATATACCAAAACGTAAAGAGCATTAACATAAAGAATTTACATCAACGAAAGGATAAAATAGCCAGTTAATATCAAATGGCAGTAACCCTAAATTTAAATCGACTAAATCCCCCAATCAAAAGATACAGACAAAATCTAATGGTATATCTAAAGATATACAAAGACTCAAAATAAAGGGTTGGAAAAAAACTTACAAACCAAATGGAGAGCAAAAACAAATAAATAAAAAGCAGGAGTTGCAATTCTCACAATTAATAAAATAGATTTCAAAGCTATAAGGATACAAGGGTAAAAGGATTAATGTAATAATAAGAGATCTTAACACCCAGATACATAAGACCCATAATGAGATTTAGATTCAACGAGACAGAAAATTGATAATGATATCCAGGACTTGAACTCAGAACCAGAACAAATAAACTCAGTAGAGCTCTCCATTTTAAACACACAAAATATACATTATCCACTTTAAACACACAAAATATTGATTGGCCGTTAGTGATACCCATTTTAGGAATGAAGTAATATTTCTTTTTCCCTCTTTTTCTCTTTTTCCCTCTTTTTTTTCCTCTTTTTCCCTCTTTTTCTTTCTCTTTCTCCCTAAATAAAAAAAAGTCTTCTTTTGACCATACTATTGAAAATCCACCATCACTCTTTCTCTCTGTTTTACTTACCATTATTGCATTGATCAGTAACCTGATATTATTTTACATAGTTAATCGTTTATTTGCTAGTAGCTCCCACTATAAAGTAAGTTTCATGATAGCTAGGGCTTTGTTTTGTTTACTGCTATACCCTCAGTGTCAAGAAAAATGCCTAGCACATAAAAAGCACTCAATAAAAGCTTGTTGAATGAAAGAAAATGGCAGTCAAAATTTCCATGACCTCCTCTAAGTTAGTGCTATTGAGGGTGTACTGGGAAATTGTGGGAGACTTTTTCTTTTTAAATTACGTATTTCAATAGCATTTCATTTTATATAATAAGAATGTACTGCTTTTTTAACCAGAACAAAACAATTGTAAGATGATACATTCCTGTATGACATGAAAAGGAGAAGAAGGTCATAACATAGACACTATTTTAGTGCCTGAGTGTGTATAGAAAAACTTCTGAAAAGACATACATCAAAATGTTAATAGTTATGAGCTACTGATATGCCCAACAACATGGATTAATCTCATGGATGTAATTTTGAACAAAAGAGGACAGACATAAAAGAGAAAATACTGTATAATTCCATACAGATAAAGTTTAAAAACTGGTCAAATTGATCTACAATGACACAAATCAGAATAGTGGTTCTTTCTGGTGGATGGTATAGACTGGGGGAGCATGATGGCACTGTCTGTGTTGATGGCAGTATTCTGGGTAGTGAGTACACAGGTCTATTCATGTGTAAAAAATCATTGAGATTAACAGTATGCAAGTTATCCTTTAATTAAAAAAATAAAATAAAAGCTGGGCGCAGTGGTTCACTCCTGTAATCCCAGCACTTTGGGAGGCTGAGGCAGGTGGATCACAAAGTCAGGAAATTGAGACCATCCTGGCCAACATGGTGAAAGCCCGTCTCTACTAAAATTACAAAAAAATTTAGCCAGGCATGGTGGTGGGCACCTGCAATCCCAGCTACTCAGGAGGCTGAGGCAGGAGAATTACTTGAACCTGTGAGGCAGGTTCAAGCCTGCACTCCAGCCTGGGTGACAGAGCGAGACTCTGTCTCAAAAAAAATAAAAATAAAAATACTGCAGTGAGCTATGATTGTGCTACTGAACTCCAGCCTGGACAACAAGAATGAGAATCTGTCTCCAAAATAAATAAATACAAACAAAATGTTATTAATACTAATCTCTGGGTGGTGGTATTATGGTTGCTTATTATTCTAATTCTGTTGTTGTTGTTTTGTTTAGTTTGTTTGAGACAGGGTCTCACTCTGTCACCTAGGCTGGAGTGCAGTGGCATGATCTTGGCTCACTGCAACTTCCACCTCCTAGGTTACAGCGATTCTCCAGTCTTAGCCTCCCAAATACCTGGGATTACAGGTGTGCGCCACCATGTCCAGCTAACTTTCTTATTCAGTTCTTTATATCTTTCTGTGTTGCCTATTGCTTGTCAAAAGAAAGTGTTACTTTTGTAAGCAGGGAAAAGAAATGCCATGGTGTTTGCACAAGAATGAAATACTCTGAGACTCATGGGATATATAGCTTTAATTCATGCACCCTCAAAAGGAGTGTTATAGAATTGGTGATATTCTGGGAAGAGGAAGATCAATTTGACTGTCATTGCTACAATCCAGGAGAGGGAGAAGAGGACCTGGACTACAGCGGAGAGATGCAAATGAGGAAACAGAAACCCAGACTGATAAAGCAGGTAGGCTTGACAGGAAATGGATATCAAAGAAAGTGAATGTTGTCAGCAAATGGGTGTTGAATGGGAAGAGAGAAGGAAAAGTCTAGATGATTCTTTACTTTCTGGTTCGGCTGAATGAAATGCAGAACTGCCATTCAGTAGGCCTGGGAAAGAAGGGAAAGGGGGTCTGGGGAAAGACTGAGTATGTTTTCAAATCTTTCAGTTGTAGGGTATCTGTGAGCTATGCAGATGGAGGTACTCAGAAGAAATTGGTTATATTAGAATCTGGAACTCAGGAGAAATATCTGGGAATGTGTTTTGAGAGTCATTTCCATACAAGTAGTAGTTGAGGTGATGTATATGAATGAGATCCCTTAGGGAGTATTTCTTCAGTGGTTCCAAAACTTAATATGCATCAGAATCACCTGAAGATTTTAGTAAAAATGAAAATTCTTGGGGGGTGTGGGGTGGGGAGCAAAGGGAAGCTACGAATTAGGACAAATACCTAATGCATGTGGGGCTTAAAACCTAGATGACGGGCTGATAGGTGCAGCAAACCACCATGGCACATGTATACCTATGTAAAAAACCTGCACATTCTGCATATGTATCCCAGACTTAAAATTTTTTAAAAAAGAAAATTTTCCACCATCAACTTCCAATATTCTATTTCAATAAACAACAACAAATAATAAAAATACAGAACTTTTGGGGGGTCCTTACTCTGTCATAGGCAGCATTTTGAGCATTGTTTAACCATTATCTCATTCAGTTGCCCCAGTAGCCCTATGAGGTAGGTACTGTCTACATTTTCAGCAAGGAGCCCAAGAGATTATGATATACGTGACCTGTTTGCCACACTTTAAGGAACGTTGGTATTTTCATATGACAAAGATAGAAGCTAAAATGCTGATGAACACTAACGTTGAGTGGGAAGCTTGAGTAAAATGAGCCAGATGAGATGGAATGAGGAAGCAGGTAGGAGGGGCCAAGTACGGTGGCTCACGCCTGTAATCCCAGCACTTTGGGGGCCTAAGGTAGGCAGATCACTTGAGCTCAGGAGTTCAAGATCTGTCTTGATAACATGGTAAAACTTCATCTTTACAAAAAAAAATACAAAAATTAATCAGGTATAGTGGCGTGCGCCTGTGGTCCCAGCTACTTGGGAGACTGAGATGAAAGGATTTATTGAGCCTAGGAGGCAGAGGTTGCAGTGAGCTGAGATCGCACCACTGCACTCCAGCCCAAGTGACATACCGAAACCCTGTCTCAAAAAAAAAAATTAGGAGGAATACTAGAGCATGGGGCATGATTTCTTTCTCCGTTTCATACACATACACTCTCTCTCTTCATCTCAAGATATGAGTACAGGTAAGGCACTCACTTTAGCTCCTTGTACTTTCTTCCTTTACCCAGGTAACCACTACTCTGTGAGGTTGAGGTGTATTCTAACAGTAGGTTTTATTTTTGTATTTGAAAAAAATGAAATATAATTTACGTGTAGCCAAATTCACAGATCTGAAAGTACAGTTCAACTAATTTTTACAAATGCACCCACTCAGGTAACCCAAATCATTTGGGTTATGATATGAACACTTCCATCATCCCAGAGAATTCCTTCATGCCCTGTCCCAGTTAATCCCATGTCCTTCCCACTGAAGAACATGTGTAAATTATATCTTAATAAAGTTGTTTACCTATATATTTACATATACATACATACATATATATGAGATGGGGTCAACATCACCAATACCCTCATATAGCCAAGACAATTTTTTAAAATAAAGAGAACAAATTTTACCCATAAGATACCAAGTCATACTATAAAGCTATAATAATTAAATAAGTGTGGGGCTGATTTGGGATTAGGTGAGCATATCACTAATGCCCAGAAACTAACCCATGCATTTGTGGAAATTAGGTTTATGACAGACATAATGTTTCAAATCAATAGGGAAAGAAGACTGACTCCTCGATAAATGAGACTGAGACAATTTGCTATCTACCTGGAAAAAGGTAAATTTCTACCTCCTACCACACACACACACAAATTTTGGAAGGGATGGATTAAATTATTATATGTATAAAACCCAACTAAAAATGTATTTGAAGAAAATGTAAGAGAGTATGTTTTTTACCTTGAGGTAAGGACCAGCTCCCTAAAGAGAACCAAAATAAACAAATAAAAAAGAAACCAAAATCATAAACAGTAGGTTTCCTTAAATCGCATCCCAGAATTAGGCAGATTTACTATAGTGGACACAGCCACCCCTTTAATGTCAAATGCACCCACCCTCCGGTTCCTGGGAGTACTGCTGCTAACAGCTTATAACTGCAACCTTCTCCATAGAATTGCACTCAGCTATTGGGAAATGCCTTGTTCTATTAGTTTTCTATTGATGCAGTGACAAATTGCTACAATCTTAGTGACTTAAAAACAACGACAACAACACATGTATTCTCTTACAGTTCTGTAGAAGTCCAACATGAGTCTTTCTAGGCTAAAATTAAGAGAGAGGATTCAGCAACAGGGTGCCATCTTGGAAGCAGATATCAAGCCCTCACCATGTCAGAGGTATTTAAACCAGAGCAACTCCATCTTGAATAGGAGCTGGGCAAAACAATGCTGGGCTGGGCTGCATTCCCAGGAGGTTAAGGCATTCTTAGTCACAGGATGAGAAAGGAGGTTGGCACAAGATACAGGTCATAAAGACCTTGCTGATAAAACAGTTTGCAGTAAAGAAGCTGGCTAAAACCCCCCAAAACCAAGATGGCAATGGGACTGACCTCTGGTTTTCCTCACTGCCACATGCCCACCAACACCATGACAGTTTACAAATGCCATGGCAACATAGGAAAGTTATCCTGTATGGTCTAAAAAGGGGAGACATGAATAATTTATCCCATTTTGCATATAATAAAGAAATAACCATAAAAATGGGCAGTGTCCTTGGGGCTGCCCTGCCTATGGAGTAGCCACACTTTTATTCCTTTGCTTTCTTCATAAACTTGCTTTCACTTTGCTCTATGGATTTGCCTCTAATTCTTTCTTACACAAGATCCAAGAACCCTCTCTTGGGGTCTAGATCAGGACCCATTTCCAGTAACAACCAGACACCAAACCTGTCAGTTCCTTGATCTTGGACTTTCAAGATTCTGGAACCATAAGAAATAAATGTCTGTTATTTATAGATTACCTATAATGTGGTATTTCATTATAACAGCACAAACAGACCAATACACCAAGTTACCATTACCATTGTGTTAGCTTTGGCTTTATCCAGGGGAAAAATAAACTTCTCATATCTTTAAGACAGGAGGTGATTCTGACACTTTGAGTAAGATAGCCACCAAAGTTAGGCTGCTACTCTCCCACAGGAACTAAAAAATGAGGGTGCTTTATCCCTTGATCTTTACATTTCAAAGAGATGACTCTTAGGTCCATTCTTGAGAAAGACATTTGTGGGTCATAAAGATGGCAAAAGACTTACTTAGTCTTCAAAAGCATTTATGTACATTTAAAAGAGAGTAGGAAGTACTTACAATTATAAGTTTTATAAAGTCAATATTCTGGAAGAAAGGAGGAGCGAGAAATCTCATACCTTATTTTCAACAGGGGTAATTAAGTCTCATTGTTAATTTGTATCTGTCCTTACAATCTCCTACCTATGTTACTATAAAATAGTAACGTGAAAAATTTTTTTTGTTCTCTCCATTGTGTTTTTTTTTCCTTTCTCTGGGCAGTTGTAGCCATCTAAAACCAGCAAATCTGTAGGAAAATACAAAGCAAAGTAATTATTAGACGTATAATAGAACATCAGAATTACTAAATTTGTATCAAGTGAAATTTTTAGAAATTTCTATCTGCCTTGGGGAAACAACCTTTGAATATATTATACCAAGACTGAATAGTTAAATCAGATTTATAAAAGATATTTGAAAATATATTTTATTCTGATACTTTTATTCTGATTCTAAACAAAAAGAAATGGCAATGACAGTAGCAAACAAAATTTCCCCACTGAACAACGTAAGGATGCTTTCACATACTCGTACCAGATCTCTATGTCAGTCAGGCACAAGTGAATATTGTGATGTGACTGTAGCAGCCTTACATTTGAAACTCAAGAAGAAATCAGTTGTGTTCCCAAACAGATAAATAGGCAGGTCCAAACAATGAAGGTATTTTTTAAACTGTCACATTCACTCCAAAACTCATTCATCTCCTTCAGCATCCCGCAGATGGAGCACATGTTTCCCTTAGCTAGATAATGAAGTGACACACACAGTGCACCACTTGACATCACAGAACAGCTGCCTATAAAACTAGACTTTTGACACTGGGCTTCAGCTTCATTCTTACAGGTCATAATCCTCACCTGGGAGAGCAGTTGTCTAAGCAACTTCTAAATCATGCTCATACTACACTGCCAAAGTTGGGTTCATGACAATCTCTGGTGAGGCAAGAGCAGGCATAGTAACGAATTCCACATTAGGGTCTCCAATGAGCTCTCTAGGAAGCCAAGGGAAGGGCTTTTCAAAGTTGTAGTTACTTTTTGGCATTTATGGCAGAAATGTCATAATACTGAAGATTCTTCTTTCAGTAGGAGACAATAGATTTTCCCTTCACTTTCCCATCCTTAATATCCATTTTGTTGCCATTCAACATGAGGATGTTTTCACATACTCATACCAGATCTCTATAGAGCCAGTTAGGCACATTCTTGTAAATAACTCTGGATGTTTCATCAAATGTTATAATGGCACACTGGGCTTGAATGTAACAGCCATTTCTCAATATACTAAATTTCTCCTGGCCAGTTGTATCTCATACAGTGAACTTAATAGGTCCTCTGTTGGTGAGGAACACAAGATGATGAACCTCAACACCCAAGGTGGCTACACACTTCTCAAATTCACTGGCCAAATGACGTTTCATGAATGCAATTTTTCCAGTACCACCATCACAAACCAATACCAATTTGAACTGGATTTGGGCCTCTCCTTGGGCAGTCTCATGATGTTCCTTCCAGAAGTGTCTCTGTGCCTATCCAACTCAGGCTGGAAAGATGGCAGAAGCCTCAAAGTCTTGATTAGCAAAGAAAAAATGTTTTAGTCATACATCAATTTTACAAATTGTTGTGATGTCTTTATTGCTTGCACTTTCAAATGATTAACTATGGAGTATTATTTTGTAATTCCTCATGAAATCTTGCCCAACCCAAGCCTATAGAGTAGATTAACTCAGGACCCTCCTAATTTCAAATTTTAATTAAGAGTTTTTCTGTGATGGCCCAATAAATTTCTCCTGAGTTTCCATCTATTACATGAGTAACATTACATTTACATGGTAATTTACGCCGTTCAGTGAATGTGCCATCTTCCTAAATGATTTATTTTTAAGATGAGAAGTAGAATGACATCCATGGCCATCATCTAGTTAAAAGTCTTCCAAGGCACTGATTTTAGAGTACAGATGGAATCTAGTGTTTAATGTGCACAACTTTAATTTGTTTTGTGTTTGTTTGTTTTTTTTGGTTCAGTTTTTTCTTTTTGTCTTTGTTTTTGAGACAAGGTCTCCCTCTGTCGCTCAGGCTGGAGTGCAGTGGCATGATCATAGCTCACTGCATCCTCAAACTCCTGGGTTCAAGCGATTCTCCCACCTCGACTTCCCAAGCAGCTGGAACTACAAGCACACACAACCACACCTAGCTAATTTTTGTATTTTTGTAGGGATGAGGCCTCACTGTGTTGCCCAAGCTGGTCTTAAACTCCCGGGCTCAAGCAATTTGCCTGTCTTGGCCTACCAAAGTGCTGGGATTACTGGTGTGAGCCACCGTGACCAGCCAACTTCAGTGATTTTGTTTTTTTTTGTTTTTTTTTCAGTTCCAATGCAAGAAACTTTAATGTTTTAAACCTTAAGGAAAAATCTTATAGGCCATTTTTTCCATTGATGTAAATAGTTATATAATTATAACAGTCAACTAAATCTCTATAAATAACAGGCATCCTCCTGTGTTTATCCACCCATACTGCAGAAAACCTGCCTCCCAATGTTAGTGGTGACACTGTATCTGTCTTCTACAGTTGCTAGTAACCTGTAGGTGCCAGATTTCTGTTCATCTATTAGATATTTTCCTTTTCTATGTCATTCTTTCCATCAAGGCAGTTAATAAAACATTTTTGTGTTAAAGCTAGAACTTGAGTACCATGGATGCATACTAATTACTTTTACTTTGTTATTATCAAAAATTACTAATGATGATGATCTCACTTGTACTCTGCCAGTAATCCAGAGTATATCCATAATGGGAGTACAGTTGAGAGCTCATTGGAAATATGTGTTGTAGGAACCAATACTGGGAGTGCAGAAATTTGGTGTAATAATAATTGCTTTCCAATAAAAGCGACTCTTCATTGTGGTGATTTGAATAACCACTGCCTGAGTAGTACTGAGAATAGCAATCAATTTTTTGGAATACATCTTTTCAAGGCAAGAGAATCATTTGAACCTGGGAGGCAGAGGTTGCAGTGACCAACATCATGCCATTGCAGTCAAGTAGTCCAGCCTGGGGGACAGAGTGATACCTTGTCTCAAAATAAATTTTTTTTAATAAAGAATACCTCTTTTCAGTTGAGTTCACTACCAATATCCATTACTCTAGCAACGTTCTTTGTGGGAACAACTGTCTAGTCCTCCTGAGGTGCTGGCTTCACATAGAAAGCATGAATCCACCTATGGTTCCCCTTCACTTTGATACCAGTGTGAGTAATCAGCAGCACCTGAAAGGGTCTCTCCCAATGGAGTGACAACCTGTCTTTCCTTTGAAATGCCTTTATGTGGATGAAGTCTCCTATTCAATAAGGGTGGCAGAGTGACTTAGGCAAGTCCTTATGACTTTAAGTCTCGGGTGTCTAGGGGAAAGAGAAGGTCTTTTAACTTTGAACATGATTATGAGAGGATTCATTTAAATCGAGTACAGAACATGGTCTCAGATCCAAGGTCATAGGCCTGCCAACCATAAGTTCAAAGGGAGAGATACTATGCTTGCTTGCAGGGGTCACTCTAATTTTTGACAAGGCTAGTGGCAAAGCTATAAGCCATTTTAGCACGTTAGATTACTAAATCTTGGACAAGTAGTTTTTCAGAGTTTGGTTCATTTACACTACTTGTGAGTGAGGCTTATAGGAATCTGCAAACATTTGGCGTACTTCCTGGGCAACGGTAGAAGTAAAATTACTTCCTCTGTCCTAGTCAATGTGCTCTGGTATCCCAAAAGTGGGAATTGTGTTTTAAGAGAAGCTTTACCACTGACTGAACATCAGCTTTTTATTTTTATTTTTATTTTATTAATTTAAGTTCTAGGATACTTGTGAAGAATGTGCAGGTTTGTTACATCGGTATACACGTGCCATGGTGGTTTGCTGCACCCATCAACCCATCATCTAGGTTTTAAGCTCCACATGCATTAGGTATTTGTCCTAATGCTCTCCTTCTCCTTGCCCTCCCCGCCCCTTGACAGACCCCAGTGTGTGATGTCCCCCTCCCTGTGTCCATGAGTTCTCATTGTTCAACTCCCACTTATTAGTAAGAATATGTGGTGTTTGGTTTTCTGTTCCGAACATGAGCTTTTTAAGTTTTATTTGATTGTGGTAAAAACATTTAACAAGAGATCTACCCCCTTGACAAATTTTTGAGCGTACTATATAGTATTATTGGCTCTAGGTATAATGTTGTACAGTAGATCATCTGGCTTAATTGAAGATCAGCTGTTGAAGACAGTAAGATTTCAGGCCATCCAAATAACATGCATACCACAATTAGACAATATCTCTTACCTTTAACAAGCATTAGTTCTGTGAAATCTAACTGCCACCAAGTTACTGGTAAAGCTGGTTAGAGAGAATTTCCTGTACTTATATGTGGAGTGGCCTGTAAAGAATAGCACATCAACAGCACACATTACAAGCATATCTCTTAAATATGTTGTGAATCATTTTATCTTTTTGGTAAGCCTAATAAGAGTCTAATGCCTTTAAAATTCCTCTTTTGTTCAGATCATTTTGTTGATGACACAACACCAGTAACCAAGCAAACTGGGACTGAAGTAGAGGAACTACTGTTAGGTGATTCCCATAGTTCAATCAAATTGCTTTTAATTCCTTTTTCAATTCATTTGCTCATTTCTTTTTGTGAAGCACATTTTAAAGAATGAACAAAAGCTTCTTGTTGTATTAAAAAATGGAGCTTCTAAGTTTGGAGCCAGCCATGTTTTAAAAGCAGCTTTTAGCCAGGCTCAGTGGCTCATGCCTGCAGTCCCAGCACTTTGGGAGACCAAGGTAGGCAGATCACCTTAGGTCAGGAGCTCAAGACCAGCTTGGCCAACATGGTGAAACCCTGTCTCTACTGAAAATACAAAAATTAGCTGGGTGTGATGCCACATGCCTGTAGTCCCAGCTACTTGGAAGGCTGAGGCAGGAGAATTGCTTGAACCCAGGAGGCAGAGGTTGCAGTGAGCCAAGATTGCACCATTGCACTACAGCCTGGGTGACACAGCGAAACTTCATCTAAGAAATAAAAATAAAAAATAAATAAGCCAGGCACAGTGGTTCACGCCTGTAATCCCAGCACTTTGAGAGGCCAAGGCAGGCAGATCACCTGAGGTCTGGAGTTCGAGACCAGCCTGGCCAACATGGTGAAACCCTGTCTCTACTAAAAATGCAAAAATTGGCCAGGCATGGTGGCAAATGCCCGTGATCCCAGCTACTCGAGAGGCTGAGGCAGGAGAATCACTTGAACCCAGGAGGCGGAGGTTGTGGTGAGCCGAGATTGCGCCATTGCACTCCAGCCTGAGCAACAAGAGTGAAACTCCATCTCAAAAAAAAAATTTTAACAAATAAATACATAAATAAATGCAGCTTTTACAGCTCTGTCAGCAAAATAAGCTACTGGTATCTGAGAAAGCAGGAGTCAAGTCCCTAATAAAACAGCTATCAATTTTCCATGTGATTTTTTTTTAGTTGCTATTAAAGTAAAAAATCCTGTATTAAAAAAATTTTCCCTGTTGTACAACGGACACCAAACATATATTTATTATGTATATATTTTTGTGTTTATTTTTAGTCCAGAGCTAAGAATTGCAGTCCTAGTAACTGGTATTAACTCGTCTGCTTATGCAGACTTCATTGCAGACAAAACATAAGCTTCCGAGGCTCTGTGACAAGTCACTGCAGCTAGGAAGCTTTTTAAGTGGGCCACTGTTAGCCATACTATATTACCAATTGATAAACATTATTATATCATCATTTTGAACAGGAATATTATATAAATCAAGTCAAATTTTTCAAAGTTTGAACATTTCAAAGCTAAGAGAGAGGCTATCACCAATTTCCACTGTTCAAAAGCCTCTTCAGATTCTAGGGACCAATCCAGAAGAGCTGAAGTATTATCATGCAGTTGCTCCATCAGAGGTTTTGCCCACTCTGCAAAACCTGGAATCTACTCTTTAATACTATATTAGTACCAAAACTGTCTGTCTCAGTCATTTGGGCTGTTATAACAAAATACCACAAACTGGGTAGCTTACAAACAGGCATTTATTAATCACATTTTGGGAGGCTAGAAAGTACAAGATGGGAAGGAGCACAGTGGCTCACGCCTGTAATCCCAGCACTTTGGGAGGCCAAGGCGGGCGGATCATGAGGTCAGGAGATCGAGACCATCCTGGCTAACACCGTGAAACCTGTCTCTGCTAAAAGTACAAAAACTTAGCCAGGCATGGTGGCAGGTGGGGCACCTGTGGTCCCAGCTACTGGGGGAGGCTGAGGCAGGAGAATCGCTGGAAACTGGGAGGCAGAGGTTGGCAGTGAGCCAAGATTGCACCACTGCACTCCAGCTTGGGCAACAGAATGAGACTCTGTCTCAAAAAAAAAAAAAAACAAGAAAAGAAAAAGCAAGTACTAGATCAAGATGCTGGCAAATTCGGTGTCTGGTAACGATTCACTTCCTCATAGATGGTGCCTTCTGGTTGCGTCCTCACATGGTGGAAGGAGCCAGGAAGTTCTCTGAGTTCTCTTTTATAATGGCATTCATCCTATTCATTAGGGCAACACCCTAATCACCTCCAAAGGCCCCATTTCTAATACCATCACATTAGAGATTGGAGTTCAACAGTTGAATTGGGGAGAGAATAAGACATAAACATTCCCACCATAGCACTACATCCGGCTGTTAGATCTGCAAAATGAGATAACTCCTAGACTGTACTACCCTAAGGGCCACATCTAAACACAAATGCCTGAAATAATTTACTCACAGAAGCAATGTTGCGATTTGTCTAGTGAGGCCTTATGCCCTTGTGAAGCAAATAACTGTGACAAAGCCGAAGTGTTAGTATTGCATTGCTCTTTAGTTTCTGAGGCTACCAGCAAAATCATCTATATTTTGAAAAAGTATAGATCCTCCTGGTGAAACAAATTTTTCTGTTTCTGTAAATGACTGGAGAAAACAGTATGGGAGTCTCAAAATCTTGAGGAATTGTCTGCCATAACTATCAGACTCCTTTATGAGCAAATAAGAACTTAGACTTTTCTACTTAGAAATAAAGAAAGAAAAAGTGGAAAGAAAAAAAGAGAAGAAAGGAAAGGAGGGAAGGGGAGAGAAAAGGAAGGAAACGAGAGGAGAGGAGAGGAAAGGAAAAAGGAAAGGAGAGGGGAGGGGAGGGGAGGGGAGGAGAAGAAAGAAAAAAGGCGAGGCGAGATGGGGTGGGGCAGGGCAGGGCGAGGCGAGGCGGGGCGGGGCGGGGCGGGGCGAGGCTGGGCGAGGCAAGGCAAGGAAAGGAAGGGCGGGCAGAACATATAGAACAGCAAAAAATTTTTATGAGACAACGATGATGAAATCAGAATAGTTGCAGGATTAGGGACTACAGGTGTTGATGGGACAATGAATTAATTTACTTCTCCCAAACCAATATAAATCTATATAGAGCTTCCCCATCTTTTTCAAATTTACCTTTATTATTTATTGGAAGTGTAATCCTACAGGGTAGGATACTTTTAAAGTATCCTTTGTTTGGATGAGTTCATGTCCTTTGCAGAGACATGGATGAAGCTGGAAACAATCATCCTCAGCAAACTGACACAAGAACAGAAAACCAAACACCACATATTCTCACTCATAAGTGGGTGTTGAACAGTGAGAACACACGGACACAGGGAGGGGAGCATCACACTCACACACCAGGGCCTGGGGGTGGGGGGCTAGGGGAAGAATAGCACAGGGTGTGGGGATTGGGGAGGGATAGCATTAGGAGAAATACCTAATGTAGATGACGGGGCGATGGATGCAGCAAACCGCCCCCATGGCACGTGTTTACCTATGTAACAAACCTGCACGATCTGCACATGTACCCCAGAACTTAAAGTATAATAAATTAGTAAAAAAAGAAAGGAGATTACACATTACACATGAAAGAATAAATAAATAAATAAATTATCCTTTGTTTTATTACTTTCCCCCTTTTTTTTTTGGAGACAGGGTGCCTCACTCTGTTACCCAGGCTTGAGTGCAGTAGTGTAGTAATGGCTCACTGTAACCTCAAAGTGCAAGGTTCAGGTGATCCTCCCACTTCAGCCTCCTTCCCACAGGCACATGCCATCATACCCGGTTAATTTTTTTAAATTTTTTGTACAGGCAAGGTCTCACTATGTTGCCCAGACTGGTCTCAAATACCAAACCCCAACTGATCCTCCTAACTCGGCCTTTCAAAGCATGGGGATTACATGTTTTTCTAATTTTTTATAACTGCTTTTATTATGTTTAATTGAGCTCTCAACAAAGGATATTGTTTACACATGTCCATGGTTCACCTTTTTGGTAAGATTATATATATATATATATATTGTCCAGGAGGCATTTTATTTGTAAGTATTACACCCCTAGAAAAAGAATCCCAGGATTTTCCCTCCTGTGTGCTTTCATCTTGCTTCTTCATGGTCCATGATGCCAGCTGGGGTTGTCAGTACAATGAAACCAAACTGGCGGGATGGAAGCAGATTATTCTGCCATTTTTCTAGATCTTTGAGTTGCCCATCAAATCTGGGGCTGATCACACCACACTTGTTTAGCCAGCCTGTGAGGTTCACAACAATTTTCCCAGCTCTGTGATCGTTAATGATTTCAAATTCGCCAATGTAACTATGCTTCATCATCACAGTGAGAAACCGGACGATGACTTTGGAGCACGGCCTAATAAGCACCTGGCGTTTGCTTCTCTTTTCGGCATTGCTGATGCTCTTGAGAGCATCAGCCAGGACATTCACGTGTGCCATTGTGGCGGCACGGAAAGATGGCGGAAAGCTGATAAGCTATTTTTTGTATCTCAAATTAATCCAGTATTGTCATTCCCTTTGATTAAATGCTCCTTCAAGTCTTCTGCTTACTTTTAAATTCAGTTGTCTGATTATTATCTTTATTATGATTGAGTTGTAAGAGTTCTTAATGTATTCTGGATACAATTGCTTTATCAGAAATATGATTTGCCAATATTTCTCCCAATCTGTGGCTTGTCTTCTCATTTCCTTAATGGAATATTTTGAAATGCAATTTTTTTCATTTTTTATGAAGTTCAGTTTGTTTATTTTTTTCCATATGGGTCCTGTTTTTGGTGTTGTGTCTAAGAATCTTTGCCACTCTTTGCCATACCTCTTTTCTTTCAGAAGTACATAGTGTCCAAATCAGGTGCCTTTTCCCAAAAAGCTCCACAGACACTTCCTCCGCAGGACAAAATATGGTATCTATTAAGTTGCACAGCAGCTTCCTCACCAGTAGGTTTATAGGCGATTCAGGAGAAATGAAGAACACATGTTTCTTAGTCAAAGGACCTATGTCTATCAAAGGAACTACAGAGGAAAGGGGACAAGTAGAAGGCTGACCCAAATATCCATAGCCTGCATTAACCTGTCACCAGATGGGAAAAGTTATTGACACATTACAGTCCACTAGTTCCCACCTTTGGGATTCCCTCAATTTATCCATTTTGAATCATTTGGCAAGTATTTCCTAGCTGAAAGCTTTGTTCTAGGCTCTCCTCATTCTCCTACCTTTGTAGTTGCTGCATCATCCAGAGTGTCCTTCGGCAGTTCCTTTTCCAGCGCCCTTGCTTTTTGCAGTAACAACATAGAGCTTTCCATCTTTCTTTCTTCCCTTTCTGGATTGGTCATTTCACCTTCAGTAAAAAGTTCTAACTAAGCAGAGAACACAGCAGACTTTAATCTCTTCTTTTCTTTTTTGTTCTTAGATTATCCCAAAACTGAGTAGCTGCTGCTAAGATTTGAGTAATAGTTTGCTTCTGCCATCCTACCTTTCCTTTAACTTGGGTTTGGAGAGTCAGTAAAAGAGCTAAAATAAAGGTGGTTAGAAACAGAGGACAATTTTTATAAGACCTTGGACTCACGCCAATAAATGTTTTAGAATATCTGAACAAATCACTGATGGAAATCAGTGAGAGACTCATCTGTCTCATGAGTGAACAGCTGCAATGTCTTCCAGTTCCTCTTTACAAGAAAGGATTCAAGTAACCTCTATCTTCAGATCATCCATATTTGGGGGGGATGATGGATAGTCAGCTTCTCTTGGCCACCATACCCTGATATAATCTTCTGAACACCAACATCCTTGCTCCATCAAAGGATCAAAGTCTTCAGGATACAAAATTCCATGCAGTAGCCAGTGCGCATCTCCACACATGGGGCTTTAAACTGAAAACATGCTGCGTAGTAGTACTGCAAATTTCTGGGGCAAAGGGAAGAGAAGTGTTTAAATGAGTGAGAAAAGGATCTGAACCACCCAAGAGTCCTGGGTAGCTTCTCAGCTTTTCTGGCTATCCAAATAGGAAGGTCTGGTTTTCCTCACATTGAGACAATAAAAATGTAAATTACACTTCAGTTCCAGCATTGACATTCATAAGTTTAATACCTTGGTTGTCTGTCTTTTTCCAAGTGAAAAGTGCAGCTACTCTCCATTCTGTTGCCTTCATATAGAAAACACTCTGTCTTAGCCTACTTTTTTGTTGCTATAATTGAATACCACAGACTGAGTAATCTATAAAGAACAGAAGTTTATTTACCTCATGGTTCTGGAGACTGGGAAGTCCAATATCAAGGTGCCAGCATCTGATGAGGGCCTTCCTGCCATGTCATAACATGCTGGAAGGTATCACATGGCAAGAGAGTAAGAGCGTGTCAGCTCAGGTCTCTTTTCCTCTTCTTATAAAGCCACCAGTCCCATCATGGTGGTCCCACCCTATGAAGTTATCTAATTTTAATCACCTCCCAAACGCCCCACCTCCAAATACCATCAACATATGAATTTGGAGATTAAGTTTCTGACACATGCAATTTGGAGGACACATTCAAACCACAGCAAAGTCTTTTATCCAAGTTCTCAGTCATCCCATGACCCTGTCTATTATTTCTGTCTTTCTAGTTGTGTGTTGTGTGGTGCGTAGATGATAAGACCTCCTGTAGGTGGCATCTGGTCTAAAACATAAAGTAGACTCAGGGCTAGGCCACCAGAGACACAAGCTTGTATCCTCAAATAGAGCAGGTTGTTGTAGAAAATCATACCTTCATCTCCCTTTACAGGGAAACCTATTATTGAAGGGAGCCACCTCTCTAAAAGATTATCACCTCCCCCTTTCCTGGGAGCCATTACAGTCAGTTAGAAGCAAGGAAGGATGAGGACATGTAGGGGAAGAGGGAGGGAGCAAGGACAGCGGAGAAAGGAGGAGGAGGTTTCCATGAAAAAGTAAGTACCTTTGATTTTTGCATTTCCCCTCTTTTTCCTTCTCATCTGGCTATCTGAATCTTTTTTAAGGCTAGTCAAGTAAGACAATGGGAGTGGAGAAGAAACAAATCTATGACTAGTCGTGATCAATTAATTGTAAACACCACTGTACTTTGACCAGCCCTAAATCATTTTTAAGTCTCCTCTTAGAACAATATTTATCCCATAAATGCCAGCAACTCATTCATTCAGGATGAAACCCCTCCAAGAATGTGTTAATCTATCTAAATCAGAAGAACCATCCTCCCACCACTACAGGACTGGATTCTCATGTGCATAACCATCCCAATGAGACAGAGAGATATTAACTATTTGAGAAACTTGAAGGCAACATTCCTGTCTTCCCATATTTTCCAACCATATGATGACCCTGATTGAAATTTAGAGTCTACATTACCCATGTTTATTTAATAGTAACATACTGAATTTGGACAGGTTGGATTGTCTAGGTAGTAGTCTCAAAAAATGGACTGCTAGAGGGAAGACTTTTTATAATTCAGGGTCTCCTACCTGGCTGTTTTATGGTTACAGATTGTCAGTTGCTGCTCATGTCAAGAGCCACCAGATATTTCCATGTTCTCATCACCAAAATTGTTAGGGAAATATAATTAAAAACAAAATCATCTCCTAACCCAGAATTCCTCTCCACAATGGTAGTAGAGAAAGAATGTTTTATTTTTGAATCAGCATTAAACCAGAACATGATGCACATCCAAAGTAACTCACTACGAGATTACAAAACCGAAGGGAATTTCACCCCCTAATGTAGCCAAGCAGATACAATCCATTAATTACATGTTTACAATTAAATAAATAATGACTAGTCTTCAACTAAGAAGACTTGGCAGCATTGTTTGTCACATATATTTCACCCAAACTTTACCTCATAATTGAGGCGACTGTCTATGCTATTTAATTGGCCTTATCTAGAGGAAAAAAATTATTGTGTCTTTATAACAGGAAATAGCTTTGCAATTTGGAGCAAGGTGCCCACCAAAGTTAGGTTTCTACACTCCCACAAAAACTGGGAGATAGGGGTGCTACCTCACTTGATGTTTACATTTTAAAGAAATGGCTCCGGGTTCCTTGAGAAAAACATTTCTGGGTCATGAAGCTGATAAAACGTCTATGTAGTCTTCAAAAGTATATATATATATATATATATATATATATATATATATATATATATATATTTCATTGATAATATATACTGTATTCTTACAATAAAGTAAGTTGGAGAAAAGGAAATGTTATGAAGAAAATCATGATAGAAATATATTTGCTATTGATTAAGTGGATCATTATAAAAGTCTGTCCTCATCTTCAGGTTGAGTAGGCTGAAGAGCAGAGGCTGGTCTTGCTGTCTCAGTGTAGCTAAAGTGGAAGAGGCAGAAGGGGAGTCAGGAGACACAGGCATACCTAGTGTAACTTTATGGAAATTCAATACATGATAATTTTTGATGTTCTTTGCATTTAATTTTCCTAAAAATGTGCCTATATAGTACCAATTCCTCTTCCACAGTTTGCTTTAGTTTCAGTGCATGCATCATAGAAGGGCCCATGTCATAAAAGAAGCTAAAAGCAATCTTGAATAATCAGAATGCTTCTGCTAAATTGCCTAATGTCAGTTTGTTTTCTCGCACTGCTTCTTCTACATCTTCATTGTCTGGCACAGGTTCGGAAGCAGTCTCATCTCTATCAGGTTGTCTTCTGTTAATTCCTCTAGTGTGGTGTCGATTCGTTCTTGAATTTCTCCAAGATCCATATCTTGAAACCCTTCTCCCCTGCACAACCACCTTTTTTGTCCCACCTCCACAATCTCTTTCATGATTTCCTTGATTGGCTCTGTTATAAATCCTGTGAAGCCATGCACACCTGGACACAGTTTTCTCCAGCAGGAATTTATTGTATTGGGCTTGGTTTTCATAGCTTTTTCCGTAACAACGATGGCTTCTTCAATGATGTAATCCTTCCAGATTTTCATGATGTTCTCTCTATCAGAGTTCTCTTCCACAGCATTGACAATCCCTTCCATAGTGTACCATGCATAATGAGCCTTACAGGTCCTTATGACTACCTGATCTAGAGGCTGGATTAGAGACATCGTGTTTGAGAACAAGGAGATCAATTCAAGGCTTTTGGTTTTGAACTCATAGGGCTCTGGGTGGCCAGGGGCATCATTCAATATCAAGAGAACTTTAAAAGGCAGTCCCTCACTGGCAAGGTACTTCCTGACTTCAGGGACAAAACATCTGCGGAAACCATCCAGAAAAAGCATTCTTGTCCAAGCCTTCTAGTTGTACAACCGGAAGACTGGCGGCTGGTGTTTATCTTTTCTATTCAAGGCTCAGGGGTAGCAGTTTTATAGATAAGGCAGTTCTTATCATAAAACCAACTGTATTTGCACAAAACAGTAGAGTTAGCCTGTCCCTTCCTGCTTTAAATCTTGGTGCTTGCTTCTCTTCCTTACTAACGAATGTCCTTTCCGGCATTCTTTTCCAAAATAGGGCACTTTAATCTACATTAAAAACCTGTTCAGACAGATAACTTTTCTCTTCAGTGATTGTCTTAGTAACATCTAGAAACTCGTGTGCTGCCTCTTGGTCAGCAGAAGCTGCTTCTCCTGTTATCTTGACTTTTTTTTTGTTTTTTGAGATGGAGTCTTGCTCTGTTGCCCAAGCTGGAGTGCAGTGCTGCAATTTCAGCTCACTGCAACCTCCACCATCTGAGTTCAAGCAATTCTCCTGTCTCAGCCTCCCAAGTAGCTGGGATTACAGGCACACACAACCAGGCCTGGCTAATTTTTGTATTTATAGTAGAGACAGCGTTTCACCATGTTGGCCAGGCTGGCCTCAAACTCCTGACCTCAAGTGATCTGCTTACCTCAGCCTCCCAAAATGCTGGGATTACAGGCATTAGCCACTGTGCCTTGCCAATCTTGACATTTTTTAAGCCAAATCTCTTACTAAAATTATCAAACCATCCTTTGCTGGCATTAAATTCTCCAGTGTTAGATCCTTCACCTTCTTTTCGATTTGTCATATAATAACTTTGCTTTTTCACAAATCATAGTAGAGTCTGTAGGCATCCCTTTCTTATAGTAATCCTTCATCCACATAAAAGCTGCACTTTCTTTTCTTTCTTTCTTTTTTTTTTTTTCCTTTGAGACAGAGTCTCACTCTGTCACCCAGGCTGGAGTTGGCTCACTGCAACCTCCGCCTCCCAAGTTTAACCTCAGCCTGCTGACTAGCTGGGATTACAGGCGTACACCATTATGCCTAGCTAATTTTTATATTTTTAGTAAAGACAGTGTTTGGGCATGTTGGCCAGGTGGTATCAAACTCTTGACCTCAAGTAATCCGCCCACCTCAGTCTCCCAACGTCCTGGGATTACAGATGTGAGCCACCGCTCCCGGCCAAAAGCTGCATTTTCAATACAATATAAAAAGGTATTTTTCAAGAAGTTCATACCTACTGGCACAGCTGCAGCAACAACTTCATTAATTTCCTTTTCTTTTTTATAATACTCCTTACACTGGATTCATTTATCTTGAAATGGTGGGCAACCACAGCTGCAAACCTCAATCTATGGTACATATCAAGCAATTCAACTTTTTTCTTGTAATGTCATGATATTTATCTACTTCTTAGGAACACTTCCCATATTACCAATGGCATTTCATCCCATGGCATTATTTAAGGTTTGTCCCACCTTAGGCCCTATGGTATTATTCAAGATTTATGATATGGATTGAACACAATGGAAAACACATGAATTGCAAGAGATCACTTTTTATTGTGATGTGCAATTTACTGGAGAGACAAACTACTCATGTAGCAATGATTGGTGTCCCACAAAGTTCTAAACAGATGCCCACAACACTTGGGCTCACAACAATAGCAACAAGAGGTGGCTACAAAATTGTTACAGTAGTACAGTATATACTACAGTTAATTTTAACATTGCATCTCTACTGTTATTTATATTTCTCTCAGACTGCAAATGTTGCTATGTATGGTTTATGTTTGTGTGTATATGTGAGATGCCACACTTTTAAACGACCAGATCTTGAGAGAACTCACTCACTATTTTGAGAACAGTTCCAAGGGGATGGTACTAAACCATTCATGAGAAATTCAACTCCATAATCTAGTCCCCTGCCACCAGGCCCCATTTCCAACATTGGGGATAACAATTGAACGTGATATTTGGGTGGAGACACAGTTACAAACCATATCACCAGGCTCAGAAGCAAATCATAGAAGTTAAAATTCAGAGAAGGTTGA